TTATGAGACTGCAAAGGACTAAACAAAACACAAATCAAAGCCACTCATGTGCAAATGTACACCCCATTTTAGAGATTTTCAGCCATCCACGAGGTGAGAAACAAGACACTAATTGAGACAACTCCTCTCCCCTGTGGGGTGGAAAGGATGTCAGCCCACATGCACCTCTTCAGAAAAGAGGGGCACCCTCACTAAGGGGTCTGGGAAAAGTCTGTTTTAGGAGGGTCTCTGCCACAGACACAGTGTCCACAGCAACGATACCCTGCCCTATTATCCAGTCTCCAAGGAGCTCTCCTGACTCCACTCCTACCCCCAACAGGTAAAAGTGGAACCATTTGGTTACATCTCAACCAAGACAGACCACAGCCTGCTCACAGCTCTAAGCAGAAGCACAGGAAGTAGCAGGATATGTATATACATTACACATCTGCTTTGTTCTCAAAAGCAGATTGGAATTCAGAATAACCTTGTTCTGAGGCACAGAGAGGTAGTGCTGCTTATTTTATTTTTAAGTTTGATAGTTGGCTGATTAAATGGGAGAAGATGGCAAGCACACACACTCCTCCCTTAGCAGTCAGGCAAGCATCATCCAAGGCTAAAAGCTTAACATGGATCAGTTCCATGAAGTTATCTGTGATAGTCATTCCCAGACTTTATGGATGATTATTATCATATGAATACCAACTATGCTTAAGTATCCTTAAATAAACTTTTCCAGATAGAGCATTGCACTCAATGGCAAAGCAATTACCAGAAAACACATTAATTTCAGTAAGAGGATACCATAAAAAGTATTCAGTGGTTTTATGCACTTTCTTGGCTTGAGCAGTATTTGCAAAGAATTTATTTTATGGCCTGCCTCTTGGATTTGCAGCTATTGATATAAATCTATGCTGCATCACTTCCATCTTTTAGTCAGAAACTGTCAGCTCTGTTGTCAATCAGAAAAAAACAACAGGTTCAAAACATGGATGTCAGGGCAACTTGCTGTCACCAAAAAGCAGATGTAATATCCCACTTGCATAAATTTTAATCAGAAGAAAAAAAAAGCCAACAGAAAATTATTTGAAACACACAGATATATATATCAGATTTCTATCCTCTGTAACAATGTTACGTGTAATAACAGAGTTTAGTCTAGAGCAGACCAGAAATAAATCCAGCATGACTCTTGCCAAGGTCAGATTTGTGCAGTTCCCAGCATTCCTGTGTGCCAGATCCCTCATTTCTCTACCTTTCCTGGTGTCTCTGGTGCAGGAGCAGCACACTGGCGTAGCTTCCAGGCATAAAGGCAGTATGGATATGCCAGGAGGTCCTGTAGAGCTAGAGGCAATCCACTGCTTCCTATAGAGCAGGTTTCTGCTAAAGTACTCAAATACTGTAAAAACCTGTCGGGCAGCTCTGGCTGGAAGAGGCAGTGCCTCTTTAAGAAAGTGTAAAAACTCTTTCGGGTAGAAATAACTGCCTTTGAAATGAGAACACAACACAGGGCACTTCAGCATTATTTTACCAAGGCTGTAAAGAGCTCTCCCAGGCTCATTTCTGTTAATTGCATCTTTGCAAAGTGCAGCCAAGCGGATGCAGAATGATTACTTTTAATGTGCTACCCAAATGGCTCTGAATGGGTGCAGCTTTCCCCCTTTCCTTACTCTTCCTCCTTGTCCTTTGGCTCCACAAGGAGCTCTACAGAAACAAATTCTGCACTTGGATTATGCACGTAAAGGAAGACTCCGAGAAAGATGACAAGTTGTGTCACAGAGCAGCAGTTAAAAAACGATTGGAACACAAACTGTTTTGGTGCTTTTCAGGCAGCTTTTGGACAGAACCTGATAAGAAGAATGGAGAAGCTGCATTCAAATGCAAGGATAAGCCCAGAGTAGAGTCACATAATCATTCTCATCAGTGGATGATTAACAGAGGAATTTGGCTCCTAATGAAGTCAGCCAGCCCCCAGACTCCACTGGTAAATCCCTTCTTGTCATCTTTCACATTCAGCTCTGACTCATCTGCAACAAACAGTCCAATCCCCAGACTATTCCCTTTTTTCTCCATTCTTTCTGCAGTAGTTGAAGCACATACTTTGCAAACGCATTGAAGGGGATGGTGGACTACAGGCACACAATGCACTGGGACTGCATCAGGAAGAGACACACCTGAGTTAGCTTTGGGGAACTGAAATACCTGTGTCACTGGACACGATCCAGGCGCACACCTCAGCGCTGGCCAACCCCTGTAACCTATTTACACTGCACAGGCCATGCCGGGGCCACTGCAGCCCCCTGTGGAGCAGCTGCCCTGGGTGAATTTGGCACACCCACACCTGCAGGCACTGCTGGGGACTGGGAGGTGAGGAAGGGGCTCCTCTCTGTGGGAGCAGCAGCCAGAGCTGAGCTCCAGCTGTGCATGGGCAGAGGGCAGATTTGTGCCTCTGCAGAGGCAGGTGACAGCGCAGCCCTTCAAATGGGAACAAGGATGGATGGTTAATTTAAACTATTAGGCCCTGAAGTGCTCACCAGAGTCACAGGTTAAGGTTGGTAGGGACCTTAAAGACCATCCAGTCCTACCCCCCTGGCACGGGCAGGGACACCTTCACTAGAGCACCTTGCTCAAAGTCCTGCTCAGCCTGGCCTTGAACACTTTCCAGGGATGGGACTTAATCTGAATGGACTTTAATTGTAATGACGGTGGCTTTTAGACATTAAAATAAACACAGAGGCCTGAAAGCTCCTATGCTTTTCCCAGGAAATCAGTTACTTTAATAATAGATGGCATTTTCCCAAGATTTATTATTATTTCCTACGTCTATACAGCATCCATTAGTCAAGTTCTGTTTGAGAGATTCTTCTAAAGATTTCTTTTTAAGAAATGTACCTAGAAAATTTAAGTTTTTCGGTTTAGAAATAGTTTCTAAATAATTCCTTCTGTACAGAGTATCTTTTCATCCATGCTGTGTGATCAAAAAATAAAAATTATTATGCTATTTCACTGTTCCATTCAATTAAAAAAATAGCACCCTACTGTATGATTCTGTCTAATGAAAAGGTGGGTTACAATTCATGAAGCACAAAATGGCAAAAAAATTAACAATGAGCTCTTTTCTGGTGATAACAATATGAGCATCTTCCTGATCAATTATGTCACACAGATTGCCTGAGCAGAATCACCTTGTAACTCTCTCATTATGCACACAGACATCACATCTGTGTAACTCAATATATTTTTCTGTATGTTTGTATCAGCCACTGAGTGGCAGCAATTCCTTCATACCTAAATCTGAATTATGAGATGTAGGATGAAAATCTCAAAGGATTCCCAAATCTTAATTCTTCTGCGCTGCCCCTAAGTTCTTTTGTGTTTAGCAGTACAGGCAAATAATAACAACTAATGAAATATCTTATTGCACCTTTCAGCTTTTTAGCTGTCAAAGTTCCAAAAGTAATGCACTTCATTCTGAAAATGTGAGTCAAAGAAACTGAAAATGCCAGCATTTAATAATTTCTTAAATTAAAGCACACACCTGTATTTTATTACGAAATCCAAGGTGAGGATGAGAAACATTAAAAAAACCAAAACCCTAAACCCATGTTTTGCAGCCTTATATTTGCTTTTCTCCTCATTATTTGCAGGTTTCCACAGCAGTGACTTGGGGTGACTGAAATCTATCAGTTCAAAGACAAACAGCTCATTTTTAATGTAGTCATTTTCAGGAACTAAAATAAACAGGAAATCCTGCATATACACTTAAAAATGCTTATGAATTATTGCTTAACCACTTAAGAAACGCTTCTTCATAGAGTTCCTGCTCAGAAATCTATGCTGGTTATAGCTTCCTATTTGATTAGCACAGTGCTGTAAGGCATTATTTGATAGATGGAACGCTGAGGAGTTAATTTGCTATTAAATTGTTAATAGACTATTGACTGTACAAGTCTGGAGCAAAAAAGATTTTAAAGGAACTAAACACGCTGCAAGGGTATCAAGGATTTTGATACTGATTATTTGTAGAGATACTAAACACTGCAGTTCAGGCTTTAAATGAGTCTCTAAAACTAGGTAAAGATCTAGCACTAGAACTGATTCTCCCACACCCAGCTGCTCTGCTGAGTCAGTTCTCTCCTTGGACGTATCAAGGGACGGGATACAGGGCAAAGTCATCCTTGCACATAAACCTCCTAGGTCCAGATCTACACTCTACTCTGTGCTACTTGGACAACCTAGAAGTGAAGTGGTGCAACAGTCAGGGCCCGCAAGTAAACTGATGTCAGATGTAACCACAGAATGCCGTAATCCAATTATTTTAATATTTCATGCCCTAATGCAAACGGGGAATTCTCTAGCGACGAACTGAAAATTGTTTTTTAATAGATGCACGCCTGGCATGTATGTACACAAAAGCACCAGGCATTCCTGCTCCTTCATTCCTTACTGTCCGTCGCCATTCAGCTGGAAACCTGACCATTTGAAAGACTGTGCGTTTCATCTGCCCAAACTCACTGCGGCACCGAGACTGAAACAGAGAGTCGGGGCGGCTGGGTGGGAAAAAAAGTTGGTGGTATCGAAGTTGGCATTTCTGCCGGGAGCAAACTCCATGTTCCTGCCAGGGACCGGCCCCGGGGGTCTCGCCGCTCCCCGCACGGGGCACGGCGCTCTCGCCGCCGCAGCCCCCGGTTTGCCCCGCACCGAGGGGCGCCCGGGCGGGCCGGGGCCGCAGCCCCCTCCCCACAGCCCAACATGGAGGCTCCGCAGGAGGCAGCCCCGGGCCGGGGGCACAGCCTGCCGCCCCACCCAGCGCCGAGGCGCTGCCCGGGGCACACGGGGGACGGCGGCGGAGCCCCGGGACCCTCGATGTCCCTCCCTCTCGCTCTGCCCGCCGGGCGCCCCACGGAAGCCGGGCGGGCCGGAGGGAGCCGGAGCCCGTCTCGCTTCCTCCTTCACCCCAGGCGGAGCAGGAACTGCCAGGCGGCGGCAGCGCCGCGCCGGGGGCAGGTACGGGCACTCACCGCGTCCGGGAGCCGTCGGGAGCCGCGGCCGCCGCCGAGTTTCGGGCGCTGTCCCGGGAAACAGAGAGCGAGAGGGAAGGAGTGCGAGCGGAGCGGCGGGCGGGAGGGAGCAGTGTGTGCCCGGCACGGCCCGGCGCTCCCCGCCCCGCGCTCCGCTCCGCCCCCGGCGCGGCTGCGGCCACGCTCACCTGCTCCTGCCGCCGCTGCTCCTCCTGCTGCCGCCCCGCCCTGGAGGTGCCGTGCCAGGCGCTGGCTGCCCCTGCCCGGGCTCCCCGCGGCTCCGTCCCCTCCCTGCTGTGCCCCCCTCCCCTGTCTCGTGGCGGTGGCCGCGTGTGGGAACGCCCGAGGCCTCAGCGGGAGCCCCGCGCTGGGCCCCGCCCGAGGCTCCGCTCCGCACCTGGGCTCCGTGCCGTGCCGTGCCGAGCCGAGCCGAGCCGAGCGAGGGGTTGCGGCTGCGGCCGCGGCAGCGCTCTGGTGGCTTGGGAGGTGTTGGTCCGCTGGTCACCAGGACGCGGGGAAGCACCGGGCTCTGAGGTGCCGGAGCTCGGAGCGAGCCCCTGCCCGGCGGGGAGCTGCGCTCAAGTGTCCTCAGCCTTCACTGCGCTTTTGGTTAAAACATTCTTTAGTGGCTTAGAAGCCACGGATATTGTTTTTTTATGGGGCCGAACCCCGTAGCTCTGTGGTCACTGCTGTGGCCTCAGCGAGCTCACCTCAGAGACCTCAGCCTTGGAGGCCTTCACCGGGTCATTCTGGGTCCCGGCCGGGGCTCCCGCAGTCCGTGCTCTGCCCTGAGTGACCGGGCTCGGTTTTTCTTCAAGTGCTGTAAGCATTTGTATTAAAATGAGCTATTTTAGGGATGGGCTGCAGCACAGGTATGTGTGAAGTGCAGGAGCCAGAGAAATACCTGTATACTTCAAGGCAGACCTTTGTCATCACTTTTTAACTCGCACAGGTCCTGTATAATTGCTGTCATGTTTTTATCTTAAATGACCTCGTTCAGCTCTAGCTGAAAACGGTGATGAAATTCCCAGAGTTTTTGTGGTGCTGTGGTCACTGGGTGTTTCTCCGGGCAGGTGGCAGCCCCTGGTGTGCAGTGCGGGTGTCACCATTGCAGGGGCTGTGACCCAGCTGTTACATTGCTGCAGAGTCCAGTCTGAAGTGCCACATTCCACCCATTTGATGTCCGGCTCCTTTCCAGAACATTTCACTTGATAGTTACAAGGTAATGTCAAAGTTCCTTGCTTGTTCTGTCTGACATCATCTTGGACAGGCTATAATATGTATATAAATCAGTGAATAGTTAATTTATACTTGGAGAGTCTAATTCGAAGAAACATATTTTAAAATTGAGAGCTCTAGTAGATATATCACAGTTTGGGTGAAAGCAAAGGAACAGAGTCATCTGAGGTAATTTCCTTTTTACTTCTGCTGCAAATTAAACTATGTAGTATTTTGTACAGATACATGCTCTTATGCATGATTAAGTGTGGGGTGATTTTTTTTTGGTTGGAACATCTAAATAATGTTTTCCTGGTTTGGGAGAGAATGTCATCTGATTAGCTATGATGCTGTAATAAATTTTATGAGGACTCTCATTTAAAATTGTGTAGATTGCTGTTATGCTGAAATCTGGAGGAGCTTTATATGCATGAGTGGTTAATGAATATCATGTTATAAAAACAAAACTAAAACTAGTTTGAATGAGAGGAGAAAAAGCAGAAGCTAATTGTGGCAAGGAGTTTTCCTTATTTCAATACTTCCAGAGAAGTTTGGAAACAGTGCTTTAAAATACATTTTATTTAATTTCATGTTCTTTGGGTATGTAAGGGCATGTAAGTGGTCAGAGAGAGTCCATTTTCCTTTGTGACCTGACCATATAATGTTGCAGCAAATTGTTAGTTAACTACAGCTGTATTTCAATTATTTAGAGCATCACTTTTGTCCAAGTCTTTCTGAAACAAAGAGTCATTTCTCATTTGGACTGTAGAAAATTTTGCAAGACCTAAAGAGCTTTGCCTCTCATATCTTTGTTCAGACAATGGGCTCAAGCTGGATTAGGACTGAGTAAAGATGTAAAAATTTGATCCACAGGAAATGAAATGTGAGAGTCTTTTAATGTGACTTTGGAAATTTGAGGTGTTTCCTGGTACTGAGACTTTCTTGCTGCCTATTTTCTGTAATTTTTCCTATACAACTCAGCCGTGCTAAATGCATGGAAATGCTCCTACAACTGGAGAGAGTCTTTCCTCAGAATAGATTCTAATGTAGCTCAGAAGGCTTTATTAAGCCATTTTATGAGCAGTGGATTTGAGAGGGGGATGAAAATCAGTTCTAAGTGAACATCCTTTAGCAGTACTCTCTGTCAGCTTCTAAGTAAATAGTAAGAGATGCTGGATTTCATAGTGAGTGCAGGGTAATTATTGGAAAGGAAAAGGGCATTACTGTCTCTGATCCATTTTCCTGAAATGTGCCTTTGGATATTTCGTAAAAAGGAAACAGTCTCAGGCTGAGTTAAAACATCTCATCTCTTTGGTAGCTGGGTAGACATCCCAATAATTCCCAGTCCCATGGTAAATCACTGCTTTGTTCCAGGAGACCTCTGGGGAGAAGATGGAACTACCAGGGCCTCCCACAACTGGATTTTCTCTTGTATTTTCACATAGAGTAAACCTACTTTACCTGGGGTCACTTAATTTTTGCCATGTGACAGGATGACAGTACAGGGTGATGTGTGTGCATGTGACTTTGAACATGCACATTAGAAACAAAAGTTAGAGATAAAACTTTCTGCAGCAAATATAAGCAAAAATTTTCTAGTGGAAGTTAAGGACTGTTCTCTGAAGATTTCTGAGGCAGTCTGGTGCAAAATCACTTTCCACAAGGCTGTAATAACCTATTGTGAGCTGAAAGACTATATCTACAGTATCTGTTACCTCCAGCAAACAAACCTGATTTTAATCCTGATGGCAGATACTTCATTTATGCAAAGATGATGACTTTTTCAAAAGTGTCATTTCAGAACAGAAAACAGTCATGGCCGTTGCTGCCATTGTTTTCACAGCCCCTCTCTATAGCAGGACTTCATTGGTCTCTCAGTCCCAAGCCTAACCACCAAATGCCTGCTCTCATTTCCTCTTTTCTGATAGTGGTGGGAGGTGTGAAAAGTCTGGTGGTGGTGGGAGTTTCCACCCATTATCTTCTACATGAGTCTGTGGTCCGTTGTGTAGAATCACTTTTTGAAGTGCTCTGAGCATTGTTCACTGTCTTCAGCTTTGCCTTAAGGTTGTGGTGAGGCTTGTGTTCTCTGTCAGGCTTTTCCTCCAAGTTTTCATGCATTTCTCTGGGAAAGACATGAACTCTATGGATTAGCAATGACACAAATACTGAATTTGGTCATGTGAAGGTCTGGCTGCCATAAACATTTGGACTGATGTCCAAGTGAAGCAGGAATTAGGCTGCCTTTCCTGAAGTCTTGTAACTTTAGAGATTCTTTTGATAACAACATACATTAATTTCTACTGCTTATGTTGCAGTTTTTATACCGATTAAGGAAGGGTTTTTTCTTTGTGTCGGTCTACCTGCCATTTTTTCTAACTTGGAGCTGACTTGTGTTTTTCCTACTTTGTCAGGGTTTGCTTGTGTGGATGTTGCATGTGCCTGTGCAGAGCTGTAATTGAGTCAGGAGCACTCTGCAGGGGGAGAGACTGTGGGTAGGTACACCTAGGAGAAATTATCATCTCTGTGCTTCATTTACTGTGCTTTGGAACTTGAAGATGAGTAATGTTCTGTGCCTAGCAGAGTTTAAATGGAATGATGGGTTTATTTTCTTTTTCCTGGAGCATGAGATGTAGAAGTTAGTGGCTGTGCTGGGGAAGATCCTGGTGTCAGATGCAATCGTGTGAATTTCAACATGTTTGTGTAACTAAGTTACTGCAGAGGCTTTTTTGTTATCAGAATAGAGTCTTAAGAATTTGAGATTAAAAAATATATGCTTATATCCCAACCACCCCAAAGTTCTGCTCATTTGAAGGAACTTTTATATATGATTCATTTATAAACCAGACAAGTGAATAGTTTCCTGACAGTTGCTGATATACCTTGTTTAGAGCATTGCCAATTCTTGTGATGTTTGGTGCTTTTAAAGTCTTACTTCCTTGAGGAAGTAATTGCATTGAAATCTTAGGCTTTTTGTGTCTTTCTTAAATAAAACCTATTTTTCATGTTTGTCCAGGAGGTACATGCACATGTCATCTTGGAGTCCCTAAAGGATTGAAAATCTGGGCTACATGTAAGAGGAACCCAAAATCTCTTCAAGTTTTACAAATACCCCCATGCTGCCTTCTGTTGTTGAGGGTAGGAGACTGATCCCTGCATTTTGAACATTTGAGACTGTAGTTAGTTTGTAAGAAGAATTGAAGTTAGAAAAAGGTTTTTATGGTGTTTACTGCCTACACCCCCTTACATTTGGTTTCAACATGCCAGCTGCCAGTGTTGATTCTGAGCAATGTAAGTGTTCTACTTCCCCTTATGACAGCTTTTCTTTGCAGTTAATATAGATGGGAGAACAAGGAAGTGTATGTATTGATGCAATTTTCTGTGCTCACCACTGTCCTATTCACAGTTGGTTTTGTATTCCTCTGAGTACTGGAGAAAACCGTGCTGTGAAAGAACACAAGCAATGTCTGATTTCTTGGTTGGTTTTTCAGCTCTTTTGAAAAAAAAAAAAAAAAGATTTTTGATGTTAATTTAAGGTTTAGAAGATTAAGATTCTGTTTGTGCAAAGAACAGAGGCAGCATAGAGGGGCACAATTCACACTATGGTGTTCTCAGTCAGGCAGGGAGGATTTTAGGGGTTTTTTTTCCAAATCCCTTTTGATTTGCTTCTGTAAGTTGTCTCATCAATCAACAAGAACAAGCTGGAGACCATGAAGTCAATGAATTTAGACCATCACATGACAGCAGCTTGTAGTACCTTCTGCTTGTGCTGCTCACCTGGGAGGAATGAAGAACCTCCTCAGCTACTGTGGAATCACCTGAGGCAACGCAGGTGCCTCCTGCTTTAAGAGGGATGTCTCAAAGGTGTCAGATATCAAGAGCTCCAATGCTGAAGGAAATTCTGTCTGATTCTGTTTTCT